CGGACTAGATCTGCTCAGGTCCCTTCCGACCCTAGAAACTATGAAACTATGAAACATAGGCGTTCTCTAAATAGTCTATGAATAAGATTTTTTTATCTGATGCTAGCTGGAAGCCAAAGTACTGCATGAGCCCTTTACTCCTCATATGGGCAGTGCATTCACTTTTTTTCTCTTCCACAGAAATCACTCGTTGCATGTGGCAGGTCAGGTTTGACTCTAATTAGCCCATGTAACTCACCTCTACCATTAAAATTAAGCATAGGAGCAGAATCGACCAAATATGAACATAATACTGGGCATGTCTACATATTCATTAATGTGCCATAGTTACTGTGCATTAAATTTAGTACTTGTATAATCAAGTACTAAATTAATGTGCAGTAACCAGTGTTATTGTGTAGAAGCACTGATGCACACCTTTTTAGTGACACTACTGTGCAGTAGCCTAATAATACTGCATGGTAGCATATTAGCACTGTTTGTGTTGTGACGTGCTACTATGCAGTATTGTTAGTCTATGTCACGGAGCGGGACCTAGGGGTAGCCGTGATCCCTCTAGCGCCCCCTGCCATGCCAAGTAGGCGTTCCAACACCCTCTATCTCACCCACCACGTGTTGGTTTTATGAAGTTCAGTAATGGAGGCTGCCTTCTGTCCTCTTGGACACGGTGCTATGACTATTTGGGCTCCTACTCCATACAGGGTGGCCTGGTACACCCCCAGCCTTATTGGCTATGTGTGCCTCCTACCTCCCCTTTAGCACGCCCCAAGCCTCGCAGCTGTCCCGGACGATGTCGGGTCACTCTTTCTCTTTCTGCGCCTTGCCTGGCACCCCTGGGCTTGTCACGCCACCAGCGCCCCTCCTCAGGCACCCCTGGGCTTGTCACGCCACCGGTGCCCCTCCCTTTTTATAGGGGTCTTGGGCTTACTAAATGGTGTTCTTCCCCACCAGGCTCGGTGGCCTAAGCCTCGCCTGGCCCCTCTGGGTTCTTGTCAATAATAAGTGTCCAACCAGGCTCAGGCGGCCTAAACCTTACCTGGCCCTTTGGCCCCTCGGGGTTCCCCCTACAGTGGAGCCCCTCTGGGACTCTTTCCCTTCCGCACCCCTCTTGGGGTGACTGTCACGAATACATGCCCCCTCCTGGGGCTTTTTCTGTACGTGCCCTCTCCTGGGCTTATCCCTAGCACACGCCCATTCCTGCGGCTTCACTCCACCTTCTCTATACTAACGGAATTGCCCTCACTGGGCTCGTTTCCCTAATAGCACCCCCCTGGGCTTCCACTTGTGTGGCCCCCCCTCAGGGCCAAACACAAGCCCCCCACAGGCTTCGCACTGGTGCTGCGTAAGTGGGGGTCAGGTGGCCGAAGCCATGCCTGGCCCCCTGACCCTTTGTCGGGATCCTCCGCCCTGCTTGGGCCTCTCAACTACCGCCCGTACTGGGTCACCCGCTGCACCACCTCAGCGCCGAACAGCCATGCCTTTCCAGGCACCACCCACATGTGCCCACACGGGGCACCAGGAACCCCCAATCTACTGAGGAGCTCCTGTGAGGCCTCCTCACACCCCTACAGCCTCACCCGGTCCTCTGGTCTATTTACACAACTAACATAACAGAACCATAAGCCAAACGGCTGTAACAGAACATTAAGCCTACCGGCTATAACGCACACTCCGGTCCCACAGGCTTCTCCTGCCCAGCCTCCCAGTCAGGGTTCTCTCTACCCTGTAACATGATGCAGCTGCTTGGTCTATCAGTCTGCTCAACCCAGCTTGACTCCGCTGCAGAGCTCTTGCTCCTCCAGCAGCCAGAAGGTAACTACTAGCTAGGCTCTGGCCTGGGCTATTTATAAAGGCCAGGCCCTGCCCCTTTCTGGCCATGTAACCTGGTCTGGTTGCCCCAGCAACCAGCACCTGACCTGCCCTGGCAATTAGCAGATGCCCTAATTCCTACTTAGGAACGGGGCACCCGAGTGCCCCCGTGACAGTCTACTGTGTAGTTAGCGGTTCATGTAGATGTGCCCACTGTTCCTCAAAGGAAGTTGTTGGTGGTACAATTTTTAGAGTTTTGTTAGACACAGTTCTTGTTGGCCTAATAGACAGGTACTTTGTAGAAACCTTATCAAGTAACATCAGACATAAATTAGGTGGAAAGTGATCATTTGATGACTGTCCTATAAGAATTGGTCGTAAGTTATTTTCTTTCAGAATGTTTTCCAATATCTACCACTGGAGGTAAGCAATTTATAGTGCTGTCTTTAAGTTGTAAATTGTAAATAGAAGGGATTAATATAATTGCTGTGTAGTGAAAGATCACCAGTATGTCATATGAACTATAACACTAACAAGCTAATTAAGATTTTCTTGTGGCTGTTTTGGAACTGAATTTTTCTCATTATAGTGGAATTCTGACAGTCATAGCATGAAGTTCAGCAGCAATGATGTAGACCTAACTGGTACCAGTTTGTTACAGCATTACCTTCGCAAGAAATGAAATTGACTCTAGCCATAGTTGTTCTTACAGTTATTCAAGTGTTTTTTCACGCAGAATATGGTACAAATAATAGAAGACTTAACCTAGCTATCTCTGGACATGTTTTTCATTGGCTACAAAATTAGATTAGGGAACAGCAGGAAAAAATAAATGCTGATGGCATTCTGGAGAGCATGTTTCTTTAGTTTGTTTGGCATGTAAATGCCTGATAGATATAAATCTATTCTATACTGCAAGAGGAAGCTAAAAGGCAAACTGTCCCAATTGCTGGAACTTTTTTGGAGAATCTCTTACCTACTCGAAGCTCTTGTCCAAAGACCGTTTTTTCTCCCAGTGCTGAGCAGTTCCATCTGCCATACCGAAACTGATACTGGCATTCATTGATTCCCATCTGTGCCCCTTCTCCAATCACTATGATGGCATCAGGGCGGCTCTGGCAGATCGCTCGTTGCCGAGGGGCCAAGCCTGGAATTTTGTTGCAGATGATATTTGCTCCTAAAGCCACCACAGATGACAGAGCTCTAAAGAAAGACAGAAAGAGGCATTAGAAACCAACTGAGACCGTTAATTCTATTTGTTCTACATTACAGGATGGCAGAAAAGGCAATGGACAAACAGCCAAAGGTTTGGAAATTTGGTTCCTATAATTATAAAGACTTTTCCCAACCTCATTGGTCTGGCAATTGGGGTTGGAAATCTTGCAGGATTTCCAGTAATGCCTAGTTAAATCTGGACCAGAATACCACATGAATAGCCTCTCTCATGGGCATTTGGCACTTCTGTTTCCCATACCAGATCAAACCAGGAACTGAGGAGGTGTGATTCATTCAGATTCATTTAGAAATGTGCTTAGTTTCAGGCTATAGGCATTTACATTGCCAAAGCCAGTTCACTCATCACAATTTTAAAACTATTTTAGACCACTTTAGAAAATATTTTTTTCTACCAATATTTTTGCCCACACTTGAAATAATGAGTGACTAATGGAAATTTATAAAAATAATAATATTTTTAGACCTAGCAAAAGCCTTGGAATACATGTGAGGGATGATTAACATGAGGCATTCTTACTGAAAACATTTATAATTCTCATTCTTCAATACATGTTCAGAAGTATACATCTAGAGTTACAACTCATTATGAAGCTCGCACACATCAATTTTCAGAATCATATACCACCTTATTTTTCAGAAGTTTTATTTTATGAAAAACATTTTAAAAAATAGGTTTCAATATTGCCATAAGTGATTTTGGAGCTTAAGGGCCATTTTAAAAGGTTCCCATTAAGTCTTAAGCTCTTAATTGAATAAATCACTTTTGTAAATTGAACTTAAGTTCCCAAATAACTTAGACACTTTTGGGGGAGATTTTTCCATTGCTAAAATTGATAGCTAGAAATGTTAAACTTGTCCTGGAAACATTTCAGATTAAATTATGCTGCCTAACTGCAGAGCTACACTGTAGAAAGGCATGAGGTATACTGACTTCTAAGTTGTGCCTACTGGCATTATGCCTAGTTTAAACTTCATCCCACCTGAAAAACCCTCTAACCTACTATGATAGCCAGATCCACTGTTCTACCCCAACACATGAAGTTTAGAGTTTTGGAAAAAACATTATGGTTTCTTCCTCTGTGAGTTCATGTTTCAGGAAAGTTGCTCTCTTGCACCCTCTCTCTTGTATTGGTGTATCCAGGACTCCCAGTGAAATTTCTTCTAGGCACTGGACTGAAGCTACAAATAGATGTTGACTTTGTGCCACCATAAAAATGTTTATGGTGCATAAAAGCCAAGAGAACACACATCATAGCCCTTTGTTGTGCTTAAATTCTGTGGTGGCAACAAACCTAATAATAATTTGTGCTGCTTTTATGTGGCTGAAGCCTGTTAACATTGTGGTAGAAGAGTGTGAGCAGACTGTGGCTGCCCCCACTCGCCAGCAGACCTAGGCAGAAACTCCCCCAGCTTCAAGGGCCTGATCCTGTGGGGAAAGGGCCTCAGGTACCTTACCTCAAAACAGAATCCACATATGCAAGTTGGAAACCCCCCACTTGCAGATATTCCCCCCTGCCCCTGTTGGGTCGCGGAGGGATTCTCCCAGTGTACATCTGCAAGTGCAGAGGGGGGAACTCTAAAAAAGGTTCACCATGCTTGCAGACTGTGTACACCAGGGAAATCCCTCTGCAGGGGATTCAAGTGGGTGGAGGGGAACTCAGAGTCCTCTGTTTCACTTGTATCCCATGCCTTGACACAAGGCATAGCAAAGGGGGTTTCCACCACTTGTAGATACACACCCAAGTTGGGGCATGGCACCTGGAGCCCTTTTCCTGCACAATCAGGCCCCTAATGTCCCAACAGGGGCAAAGCAATGACCCTGCAGGATGACAGCCCCAGTGACATCTGTAGACATCAGTGAAGTAGACTGGCTGTGCCATGACATATTGCAACACAGCGGAACACTCTCCAAATAGGACCTCTGTTTCTAGCCTAAGAGCAACAAGACAGGAATCTACCTTTTCAGAACGACAGCTATCTCAACAAAGTAGGTGTGACTTCCCAAACAGGAAGATGTGGTGTGGTACAAGCACACAAAAACTAAAGCAGTCTTCCACCTAGACGTATAAGAGAGGAGGCAGCTTAATTCTGTGACATTTTCTGCACCGTCTTATGCACTCATTCAGCATGGTGGCTTTTTTATGTTTTCCTGGAAAATGGTGATTCTATTAAATCAAAACAATGCATGGATGTGTATTGATTTTGTTGAAATATAAATAAAAAAGTATTGAAACACTAGGTTCCAAAAGCATCAAAGTGCTTTGCTATGACTATTTCAATAACACAGAATAGATTATAAACAAAACAGAATGAAATGCATTGGAATTTCCTGTAGAATGGAAGTACTTCATTTCAAACATCTCTACCCTTACATTTTATAGTTCAGAGCTTCCTATGATGATGATTCATTATATTTGTCCATAGTCTATGTATACAGTTGACCGAAGTGAATTTTAGGAGGATGGAGAATAATTGTGAACACAGAACCTGTTGTGCCACATTTCATTTTAAGAGACAGACAAGAAATACAAAATTGAGATCCAAGTCAGAGCACTCCCAAAATTTGAAACATAAATGTTCAAATCCCAACTCCTCTAATAGCATAGCATGGCCAGTGGCATGTGCTAATCCAAAGCTTTGGTTCTGACCCATCTCTTCTTCAATAAACATTTAAAGATTTTGTTTTGTAAGTCTTTAATTCAAGATTTGGGTGTCTCCCTAAAAAACATGCCAGAGCTCATACAGAAGTTTGATGCAGAAATTACTAGGTGAGTTTCTCTTGTCTGTGTCATGCAATTGGTCAGCCAGTTATTATAATGGTAATTGGCCACAGACTCCATGAATCTATTAACATCACAGAAGGATTTAGATATCTAGGTCAAAGGGAAGAAACCTGAATATTTGATTCAGATACTTTTCAACACTGTGGAGCAACACAACCATTTTCTGCCATAAAGCATCGGATCTTTATCTCTATGATATGACAGATGGTACTGGAAGGTTTAGATCATGTTGCAATAAAGACTCATAAGGAGAAAAAAATGTGTTTTGTGCATTGTACAGGGAAGCTAGTGCATGTGCATTTTAGTAGATTTTTGTGATCACTTTGAAATGCTGAATTCCCTGTGTGGCATGTACAAATTGGAGGATTGAACCAAATGAAATTGCATGAGGTTCAACAAGGACAAGTACAAAGTCCTGCACTTAGGATGGAACAATCCCATGCACCAGTATGGGCTGGGGGCTGACTGGCTGGGCGGCAGCTCTGCAGAGAAGGACGTGGGGTTATTGTGGACAATAAGCTGAATATGTGCCAACAGCGTGTCCTTGTTGCAAAGAAGGCTAATGGCATACTGGGCCATTGGTAGGTGTGTTGCCAGCAGATCAAGGGAAGTGACTATTCACTTCTATTCAGCACTAGTGAGGCCATATCTGGAGTACTGTGTTCAGTTTTGGGTCTCCCACTACCGAAAGGATGTGCACACCTGGAAAGAGTCCAGTGGAGGACAACAAAAATGGTGAGGGGGCTGAGGCATATGCTTTATGAGGAGAGGCTGAGTTTGGAGAAGAGAAGACTGAGTGGAGATTTAATAGCAGCCTTCAACTACTTGAAGAGAGGTTCAAAAGAAGATGGAGCTAGACTGTTCACAGTGGTGGCAGATGAAAGAACAAGGAGCAACAGTCTCAAGTTGCAGCAAGGGAAGTTTAGGTTAAATATTGGGAAGAATTTTCTCACTAGGAGGGTAGTAAAACACTGGACCATGTTACCCAGAGAGGTTATGGAATCTTCATCCTTGGAGGTTTTCAAGACTCAACTAGACAGACTTTGGCTGGGATGATCTAGCTGGGGATGGTCCTGCTTTGAGCAGGGGGTTGGACTAGATGGCCTCCAGAGGTCCCTCCCAACCCTAATTTTCTATGATTCTAAGATTTGATGCTAATCTCTATGTCTGGCCCATGTATCTCATACAAGTGTTGATAGTAAAAATGTTACATACATTGGTAATGGTCAATCACACAGTGTTCGGAAGCATTACACTTATTGATATTAGCAGCATTATTTGGAAGCTGTTTGCAGTGCCAACAGGCTACTGTGTGAATTCCTAGCTACTTAAATTAATTATTCAGCTACTATATTCTGCATGATGGATCCAAATTGATTGCAGGGGTTTCACAAAGGAGATTCACTTCAGATAAGGCAGAAGGGGCCTTGTTACACATTGTACTTTGAGCTGCTCAAATGTTGATTGGTGCTAGTGCTAGCTGAAGTTTGGAGCAGTACCACCTTGAGGCTAAAAACTTTTTCTGATTGTTTCCCACCTGCACAGCTGTGACTTTCCGCTAGAGGGCTGCCAAGCAGCAGGGGCCCAACAGGTGTGAACTGATACTAAAGGACAAGTTTCTATCCATGCTGTATGGGGGGGGGGGGGAAAGATGGTTAGACAGGGTGCATACCTGAAGCTGAGAGGCAAAGCATTAGTGGGAGTGGGGGTAGGTAATGAAATGGAAGGTGGAAGGGAGATGGGGATGGTGAAATGAAGTAAGTCAGCCACTGAAGGATTAAATAAAAGGAAGTAAAAAAATTAAGAGTTTAAAAAGAAATAAAGAGTAAGTAAATTTAAGGTCTTATGTTTTAATAAATTGGGATTTGGGATTGGGTTGTGAGGGGTACTGGTTTTGTTTCCCAGGGTGGCTGGAAGATGGGACTTGTGAGTGAAGGTGCTTTTGAGAGAGCTACTGCCCAGGCCCTGAGAAGGAAGCCCCAGCTCACTGGGACTTGATCCACCCCTCTATCTTGTCCCCCCTCCACCCCAACTAGACCCCGCTCCTGTGATCTGGCTAACTGGTATGTACTCTGCAGGCTGTTTGCACAGGTTTGCATGCCTGGAGGTGGGAAGGTCCCACCCTCAGGGATGGGAAGGGGAGCTGGCTTGGTGCCAGAAATGCCACTTGAGTAGTAGAGCTCA